TAACGTATGGTCATATGTTTCACTTTATACAAATTATCTGTCAGTTTCATTATAGTTCTACAGAACATTGATATGCCAAGATTAGTGTTAATGAACAGAAAATGCTATTTCAGTTTGAACTGCCAGATAATATGTGATTCAGATTCAAGAATTCTGCATATGGGTGCTCGTTTTTCCGGAAATGCATGATGCAGCTATTTGGCAACTCAGTGATATTCAGATTTATATGAGACGTTTCTTTAATAACAATGATGAAACAACCTGGCGACTAGGGGATTCTGCATATATAGTGTATTTTTAGGATCAATCAAAGATAAAGAAGCCTTCCACTTTATGGTCAGTTTATTCGATGTTACGCTGTACAATTTCATTATTTGAAAACATTGATTGAAGTCCGAAAGTGACGGTTTGGGACGCAATACTTGCTAGCTGTCGTATCTCTGTTATCTCTGTTAATGTTATCTTCCACTGTCTACCAACTAAGTACCATGCGTATACTCAAGTACTGTTAGTTGCATACATTTATTCATTTTAAGAAAATTACTTCAAGTATTTCGTACATAACCTCAATCTTCTTTTTGAACCTTGGTAGTAAAGTTGAACTTTACTGCCTCTAAAGAAGTCGGCAATTGCATACTTCATGGCTACTAGTGAAAAAAACCATTTTTACTGAGTAAAAAATATTTATTTTTTCAATTTTACTTTTTTTTTTAAATTAGTCGAATTATTATGGTGTTCCAGTTTTTTCTCTTGCTATTACTCAGAAGCGCACCCGACATTTTAAATAAATTTTCAATAAATTTTATCTCGAATAGTAAAGGATTTTTATTAGAGCAATTTTTGGTTCAAAGTCTCAAAAAATTATAATCAGTTACTATAAAAGAGTTTCCTTACAATTCAAAAACACCCTGTATAATCATCAAGTTCACTTTCGGCTTTGATAAAGAAAAAACTTTTTTTAGGATAGTCGATTACGATTACACCACAGGTATTGTGGCATGTAGACAAATTTTGGTAGCGCATTATTACTTGTGCGTATCTGACAGTATATTTAAAGTTTTAGAGTAATCAGTGCTGTAGTTTCTAAGATTATATTAAAAATACATAGAGCAGTAAACATAGCCTAGGTATTAAAAAAGTTTAAAATCAAGAATATGGTATTAATGAGATAATTTTATTACAATAATTTTTCCTTGAAAATACAACATGCAAATACAATTAAACTATATGCAAGGTTTATTTGAGATACGTATTTGTGGTAAAAATAGAGCAGTTCTGAAGGATTCCGTTGTCTGTTTCTTATTTTTTCAGTTAAACTCGAATTGAGGACTTTCAACCCCCAGTACCCCAACTTGAGAAAATAGTGTCTGGAGTGTTCCTTAATATGTAGTAGTGTAGTAGTTTTAAGCAAGTCACTTTTTCTTCAGGCAACTATTAAATTTATGTATATCTATCGGTTACCTTGAACCGTTAGTGTTTGTCTATTTAACAAAGAATGTATGATTGAGTATTTTAATTTATTATTGTACCTACTGTATTTTTTGTATGTATCAGTTAGAATCTTGATTCTTTTCAGTGGTAAGGTAAAGGCACCAGTGATCGACAGTGCACCAGTGTCCGACACTTTCTTTTATTGTTGTTAATATTAAGCTCATTTTACGTTCAAATGAATTAGAATCAACAGTGAATTGCTCCATATTTATATTGGCAACAATGGAGAAGAAGACAGAAACTTTACTAAACTTTAAGTTAAAAAAAAATGGCGTTGATGTCCAGAAGATCAGCGCATGTGTTTCAGCGTCGTTTTTGTAAAGCAGAACCGTAAGGTAAGTGGTACACATTATTGCACCTAATTTCCTTGTTAATCGTTTTTGGCCGATATATCAATGTCCAAATATCAGAATACACATTATTAAAGCGATCAGTCAATGTAAATCAGATTTTGTACATTTTCTAACCTATATTGGGGGGGGTGTCGTTTATTGGATACAAAAAATCATTGGGGAACCACTGACCTGCAGTGGTGTCGATTATAGGGAAAACGATTTTTTCATGTTGGCAACACTAACAAATTGCGCACAAAATTTAAAATATCGCGTTCAACACCAGACCTCTGTACCATGATTTACTCCAATGTTCGACACACATGTGTCAGTAACTGGGGCAACAAATGTCTGATACTGGTTCGTTAATTTCAGAGAAATGGCTCCTAGAAGAAATTATACAAAAGAACAAATGTCTAAAGCCATTGATGCTGTGAGGCGTGGAATGGCGATAGCTACAGCAGCAAAGGCTTTTTCTGTCCCAAGAACAACACTTTTGGATAAAATAAGTGGCAGAAGCTCGCTCGAGACCAAGATGGGGCCAAACACAGTGCTAACACAACATGAAGAAAAAATTTTAGAAGACTGGATAATGTCTTTGTCTGATATGCACTACTCAATAAAGAAAGATGAATTACTTGGCAGTGTTCAACATATCATCCAAAAAGAAGAAAAAAACAGAAAAGTGGAAGTGAAGGAAAAGAAAAGTCAAGAACGACAAGCCAAAAAACTGGAAAAAGACAAGAAAAAGATAAAAACTAAACAGAGGGTGTTACTGACGAGCGATTCTGAATCTGAGGAACAATGGGTGGAAAGTGGTGACAGCCTAGACGACATTGATTTAGAACAAGAAAATAGCGATGAAGATTTTGGGTATTACAAAGTTGAAGTAAAATCAATACCACTTACGCAACCATATTAGAATTCATATGTAATTGTAGAATATGAACAGCGCTATTTTCCTGGTCGAGTGACAAAACTGGACACAGACGGATATTTTATTTCTAGCATGACAAAAAGTGGTTTGTGTGACTGGAAATGGCCAAAACAAAAGGACGAAATCCATTATACAGAAGAAGAAATAATAGAAATAATACAAGCACCAAAGAAAAAAAATTCACGTGGAATTTATTCTGTGCCGGAAATGGCAAAATATAGAGATTTTTCGGTTTGAATTGGTTAACAAAAATATTAAGACTGATTAAAACCTAATGGAGACTGATTGTTAAGCTGTTAATTTTATAGAATATATATATTTTTTGTTCATTGATATAATTTTACGTTATGTTCTTATATGACAAATAAACTTTATTTTTTTTATCATTCTGTCTAATTTTATTCCAGATAAATCTCTTCAGTCATGTCAATTACTGGGGTGTCGATTACTGGAAAATCAAAAAATTCCTGCGTCGATTACTGGGGATTTGGAACAGTTGTTTAAAAAATTCAAAATTTCAAAACTACACAAACAAATCCTCATTTGTTACTATAGGAATGAAGAGAAAGAATCATTGAATCTCTAAAATAATTTTCCAAGTTACTTGACCGTAAATTTCCAATTTTGACATTTTTTTTGTTTATGTTGGTCTAATAGTGTCGATCACTGGTGTCTTTACCTTAATCTGCGTTCCAACTTTTTGTACACTTTTAATTAGTTGTGCAATAAAGTTATTATAATTAGTTTTAAAGTCCAAGAAGCGGAGAGATGGTAGAGATGTATATGTGGTATTTTGAGATTGAAATTTAAATTTCGCCCTGAGAGTAAAAAAAAACAAAGCTGCGAAAAGGATTATAATTAGTGTAAGACCAGTTAGTTAATGATTTTCTAATCTGAAATATGTACCTACGACTCTGACTATTCCATCAATACATGTAGTTTTTATTTTATTGTTGAAAAAGTCACAATTCATGTTAAGATTTTTAACTGTTCATGGTTTTAATATAATTTAACTACATTTATGTGAATATTCATACACAAAAGGTGTCAGAAAATTTGCATTTTTCAGTTTAACCCTTTTTAATAATAATTTCTCTAGTTGTAGATGTTTTTTATTTTTAATTATTATATTATTCATAACTTCTTACTCGAACTTAATAATAATTCATTTGCGGCATTTAAGCTAATCTTAAATGTTGATCTGTTCTGAGAGAAAGTGCCTGAAATTTGCATCTGTTAAATTCATATCATCGTTTACTCGAAAATAGGAGGGCATTCATATTTTCTTAGGGGTTTAATAGTTTCTAATCACTTGAATTTGAACATTTATTTTGGAAGTCGCTGCTCTAGAGCGAAGCGTTTACGAGATCTCCTTATTTTCGTTTCGATAGTATTGAACACTGCCGGTTGTGTTTATTTCACCTGTGCTTCGTTTGGATATCAGTGGGGTTTACTTTCTGTCCAGAACGATGTAATTTGTGAACATATTTTTAATTTAATCAATAACTTGGATTCATGCGTAATTTAAGAATTTGTAAATGTTTTGTTCTTTAGAATTCCTGATAAAATATGGTGTAATTAAATGTTTCTTGCTTTTTTCCTGTAATTTTAATACTCATTCAGTTTTCGTTATAAGGTGAAGAAAAATTGGATTTGAATTATTGGAATTAAAAGCACAAGATTTCCTGGTGAAAGCGGAACACATGATTTCCAGTTGCAGCTGACGGTTTTTCTCTCATGTAATTTTTCCTAACAGATATTAAATGATAAATTTCTTGGGGAGACCCGCGTCTGTGTTTTGCGAAGACAAGGTGGAGCGTATAATATGCGACAGGTTTTTTCTATTTTTACTGTACGTGTCCTTTCCATGGATATAGGGATCGGCATGAAGCGTCGCCATCCCAAGCCGTTAGTATACAAACCTATCTATTCTACAACCGCGGTTTACACAATTCTTGGATGACGTTTGATCGGGGTCGATAAGTATATTTCTTTTACTAATTATATCGGTTATCAACAGATGTCTATAGAATCAGGTGTTTGGACAACAGGTGACGCAATCGAGGGATATATGTGCACTAACCATGGAGCTAGAATGAGACGCTCGAAAATAGTTTGAAAAAGTGTCTGGTGACGCGTTTTCGACTGGGGTCATAAATGAGTCTTCCAACTTCTCCGAGAAACTGGTTGTTCCAGTGGCGTGCTCGAAAACATTTGTCTGGTAAAAGACACAAAACTAATTTAATAAAATTTAATGAATTTTATTCAAAAATTAAGCAAATAATCACACGATTTTACTAATTATGAACCTATTTTAGACCAAACGACACCGCCTTTGATCCTCTGTTGTTGAGCGATTACTCCCGATGTAGTAAGGAAAGCGTATAAGTGGCTTTTCCGTGAAGCTCTTGCCGGCAGATCGTTAACATTGGTACAATGCGACATGCTCCCTCCTGTCATTCTACACTGCGAAATACATGCAAAAAAATGAGGAATAGCTCACAATATGATTATGTCAGTGGCAAAAATTCACGGTCCTAAGTGGTAGCAGTGTCTAGAAAAAAATATTTGAAATTAAATGTAAATTGTTATACGCGCCGCTGGTAATGTTTCGTGACCTACATAATTACTGCAATGAATGGCCAGGGTACTCGGAGTAAGAACCAAAAAAGTAACTTAATCAGGCACTTTTTTAATCGCAACGTGAAAAACACGAAAAGGGCCAGCCATTATCGAGCGGTCGTTGAAATCGGTGTATGGTGCAATTTTCCAATGCAGAGTGTGTCGATATGGTAATTTGTGTGCGCGAACATTTGCATCAGTGGTACAGCATCTCCGAGATCATGGTACCTTCAACCCCAAACTCACGATCGTGCTCGTGATGGGACAGAAAGAAGAAATTGGATTTTCGCAGCTTGTAGTGCATCCTACATTAAAAGAACACGGTCACATCCATACCATGTTGACAAAGTGCACGGTTTGGAGCCCGCTGATTGTCCACGTTGTGTAACTCACTTTTTGTCAGATGGAACTCCACATAGTCGTCAACAAGTACGATTTCAAGAAACGTGTATTGGTTGGATGAAACAATTCATTTGTGGAAATCACCACTGTCCAGAAATTATCGAAGAGCTTCAACAAGTGAAAGTGGCAGCCGCTACTCCGGTGTTTTTTTACCTATCAACAAACCTCTTGCGACGCTCTGACGCTTGTATTGCTAGTCAAGGACAATATTTTCAACATTTCTTGTAAAAAGGTAGTAGCATTCTAAGTTGCTCTTGTTTCTGTTCCAATGAACAATGTAAAATCGTTGTGCCAAGGACCAAACATCCGTCAGAATCAAAATTACCAAAAAACTTTCACACTGACCTTTAACGATGAATGAGTAAATGAATGAACGAATGATAAGCAGCAAAAAGTCGGTTTTACTTCTAATTGAAACTGAAAGTGTTTAGGTTGTTTTTATTCGAACGTTTTTCCAACTCTGTTTACAAGGTGGCTCAATGCCTTCGTATCGAGGGTGGTTCATGGGGGTTTTGCCCCATTCGATTTTTAATTTGTTTTTTCTATATTTCGGCTCTACTAGGGTGGGGGATGCCGTGGTTAAAATATTTGCATATATTCCTATATACCCTGTATATAGGGATATATTTCATGATCGTGGTATATATCGACCTATCTATTCTATGGTCGTAGTCCCAGGTATTAAAATTTTGTGCGTTTAATGCAACTTGGCGAGGGTTGAAATTTTGAAAATATGTATTAAAATAAACATAAAACAATTTTTTTGTGACAGCAATTTTGAAATATGTTCTTTAACAGTGACAACACTTGCTTAAAAAAATGTATGAATAATAATAATAATAATATTAATTGTTCAATATTCGTAAAAGTGGAATTTTAATTCTGATATTTTCAGATAAGTATTTCTTATCCTGACCCTTTTGAAAATTTAACTTTGATATGTGCATAATTTGTACACTGAGTATCATTCGGATCCCCGTACGTAGCAATGACCTAAAAAATAATTCGAGTAGGCAGTATATTTTAATAAATTTCTAGTAAAAACAACTCGACAATTCATGCGTAGCTACAATTCTGTTTATGTATTTTCTTTTTCTGTCAAATTTCATAAATAAACGTGTAATGTGTGATTTTAAACGTGCGGTTATTCAAAAAACATTTACTTGGGTATCAAATTAGATTCCATGTTTTAAATACATGCAATGTACTAAACGATGAATATCACAGAATTTCCTCCGACACTGCAACAGAAAACAATCAAGTGACTATAAACCAACGTGTTGTAACACCACTTATGACGCATGAACATAACAATATTTATTCAAAGCTAGACGACGTGTTTATACTTACGCATGTTAATAGCATTCGGTTTTGAGTGCAACAAATTTCCCTTTATTGAAATGAACAGTAGGTAAGGCTGATTCACGGTCAACTTTTCTTCTACCTCATTCACCTTGAAAAGATGTTTAGGACAGATGCGTAAATTATCTTGTTTACACACATATACCATAAATATTTAGAGTTTTTAGGTAGCGGGTTATTAAATCATGAGATCCGGTGATAACAGAGATTTACAAAAGTATAATGGCTTTATCTAATCTGGTGTAAGTGATTTTTGCGCGCCTCAAAAAATGCCAGTGTAGCTACATCCATTAAAACCATTAAGTATTCAATACCTCGCTCAACATGAAGTTCACACCGAACGAAAACATCCTAAGAGTGGCTTTACTCGTTTTTAGCATTTTGTTTGGGGTAAGTCTTGCAAAGATACTTTTATTGTGCACGCCTTAAATAATTTCAGATACTGAGTGTTTCTCTGATTGCCTTGGGGGTCGTGTACATCGATGAGTTATGGTGGCCGAGGAGATACGTCGGTTTGGATTTCATCGAATTGCCCACTTTGCTGATAGTTTTGGGTTCGCTGAGTTTAGCAATGGCATTGGCGGGATGTGTGTGTGCCAAAACATACAGTAGAACGCTGCTGCTTACAGTAAGAATTATTTACGATAAATTTTCGTACAATTGCTTCATATTTTACAGTTTGCCGTTGTCTTGTTTATAATTTTGTGTTTCGAGTTGTCGATAGCCGTTATAGCTTTTATCAACTTCGATGAACACGAAGGAGCACATACCAAAACACATCGAAAAATGTTCCAGCAATATAACAGCGTAAGCGACGAAACAAAATTGTTCTTTCAGGAGTTAGAAGACCATGTGAGTTTTCAGTGATGTGTTCATGCATCAGTCGGCAGCGTACATATTTGCCTTATTTGTATATATACTCATTCGTAGACTGTACATAATTAAATTATTATTATAAGGTTAAATGTTTTTGTACACATTTTTTTTGCTTCTTTTAAGTTGGTACTTCGTGCACGAGACTCAACTCTGTTAGTGTACACCTGAGAAAATGCGTGTTTTGTTTTTTCTTGTTTAGTTCAGCAAGGATTGGTTGTAAGACCGTTGTTATTCTGATATGTGTAATATGACATAAGGTGACAATTTCAGTATAACTGCTGTGGTGTAACAGGAGATGAAAACAACTGCAATAGAAATGGTACAGTGAGTGCAAATTATAGTAAGGTTTCTGAAAGCCCTGCTACCACGAATTCGTATAACAGTGGTGTAGGTTCTATAATGGGGTGTGCGGATGCAGTTAATGAACATATTCAGTTAGTTGCTGCAGAAATAGGGTACTTTACATCAATTCTGGCCTTATTACAGGTTACACTGTGTATACTTTTAATTTTTATTCTTATTAAATATTTTGTTTTAGGTTATACAAATTGGATATGTTTACTTGATTCAAAGATCTGTGAAGGAATACTACGCTGCTTAATTATGGATACTTTTTTATTAAAGTTCACCCATACTTGACCACAAAGTGCACACTGTTTGATACATGATTTAAATTGTACTGTTTGTTTTTTCTAAAAATAAAGATGTCCCAAAAGGGTGGAATCATTGAAATTATTTTTGACGCTGTACTATAGAACTCATTTACGGCTACAATTTAAAATTACTTTCAAACATACACCTAAGATATTTCGTGCAAAATTGCACACCATAGTGGTATTTTTTCAATGTAACTCCTATATATTTTTACAGATTTACATTCTTTATTAAAAAAAGAGAAAAATGATATCAGACGCAAGATTTTTTGGGTAACTGTTTTAGCACTGGTGAAATACTTAAAGGCAAAGTATAAAACCGGTGATAAAGTGTGGCATCATTTAACATCATGTAAATGATGAAAAAGACAGAGCTTGTTTTTTTTTAATAAATCTTTGCTAGGTTATTTCGACCACCTAAATATTTTGTTGATTAATGCTTCCACCATAAATTGTCTGATGTCCGCTCTTAATCTCAGATAAAAATTCTTTGCTGTTTAAAATTTCACGAGAATGTTTGGCGAATTTAAATGTTGTTTATTGTTTTTTTTTACCTTAACACTTGTTCGGTTGTAGTTTAATATCAGAGTTATAGAAATTGAACATTTAAATGGAATTGAGGTAAATAAGGCAGAAGCGGAGGGCGCGGTTCCTAGTCGAGCTTGCAAGATTTATCGCGCCATCTGTACAAAACACGCGTATCTTGAATAGTCAGGGGAACGGTCGGGATGACGTGACGCTCACGGTTTGGTCTAATAGCCGGGATTTCCAACCACGAGTTTGCGACCGTAACGGCTTGCTCGTGCGGCATGCTCGTAATCGAGGGGTGCTGTGAATTTTTTGTCAAGTGTTTTATGTAAATAAAATGAAAATTCATAGGTTATAAATATATGTGGACCTCTACAATATTGCAGTTAAATTGTATTAGAACCATGAACAATTAAAGATCTTAACATAAACTGTTGGTGAAGACAGCGCTAACGGCTTCGTGAGCGCATGTGCGAGTCCCGGATCGCCAACGTGATGGACCGAGGAGCGGGTCGTACTCGCTCTCTCTGCAAGTGACCACCGTGCGGTAAAGACGTGTTGTTATTACTTAATATATCCATGTTGTGCAGTTAGGCTTTTTATTTGCCCTTTTAATACGTCGTCCCTTAACATAAACTTTAAATTTAAGAACAATAAAAAAATACATTACTTGTATGTGGAGTAATGAAAGTTTACACATTTTGCGTTAGGAAATCATGAATAAACATTACCAATTAATATTAATTACCCTCACTGAGGGGACTGTAGCACCGAACGAGATTCATTTTATCTAAACAATTGCCCCTTCATTAAATTACAGACTAAATACGACGTATTACTTACACTCATTGAGGGGACTGTAGTACTGAATGAGATTCAATTTGTCTAATTATCCCTTAATTTTAAATTAAAATTTTAATTAAATTCAGTTGCAAGTGTAAACACATGGATGATTTTAACTTTTGCAAAGCGGTTTCGTGCGGTGTTTTGTTTCTTTCAGCGTGAAATTCAAGTTTCAAATTTAGAACACCATACGACTAAGTACTACCAGTAAGTAAAATAATTAACTTTACAAGGGATTTTTCCAGACATATACAGCCTGTTATTGAAAGGTACGTACAAAATAAAATCGGCAATTGGTCTCGAGGTATGGGTGCTAAAAGTTAAAAAAAGTTCAGGTAAAAGTGTTCTCCTTTTAGAGATAAAAATTATTAAAATTTGTGTCCAAATTCGTTGTACGCCTCTGATAAAAAGATCATCTTTCGTTTCTATAGCAACATTTAGTCTTGACAAAAGTTTTATTGTTACAGTTGCTAGGATTTACTAAAATAAATTAATTTTACCTATTTATCCTTCAGTAGCGTCTAAAAAGATTGGATAAGGGTTCATTTTCCCCTTAAAATTTTGATAAGACAAAGTAAGTTTTTTCGACTTCTTAGACTTCGCGAAGAACTGTCCATTTTGTTGTACGTACATACCTTTCAATAACACCCTGTATTTAAAACTGTTGTTTTTAATTATCATGTTGTGATAACCCAAAGTTCCCCCCTTAAATTGACTTTGAAAAAGTTTGAAAGGCAAGCGAAAAATTCAAAATTTGGCTTTGGCTGTGATCGTCTTAGAAAAAAAGGAACCTACGTTGTGTTTTTTTTAAACATGGCGGAAAGACGTTCTTTTATACAAGTGAGCATACACACCGTGTGAGTCGAGAGCGCAAGAAATAATAGACAAAATTTTTGGGAGGGGGCTAAAAATCGCGCTCCCTCTCTAGGAGGAAAAGAGCTGCGAGCATTCACTCCTCAGTCCAAAAACCCCCTATCGTATATTCACCGACATATTACATTTCAAATGACCTTAAAAATATGAAAGAAAAGACACTCGCGAATTAACAGACATACACATATGAAAGCCAAACAAGTACAATAACCCAACGCTAATGTTTTGAATCAATGCCAATATTTGAATATCACAATTTTAATAAGAACAAAGCAACATCTGAATTAAAATAACTGGATGCAAATCCACAAGTTATTACGGGCGTGTGGTGTCAAATTTAAAATTACGGCAATTAACAGGAGCACAAGAAAAATACCTCTTGGGGGTTCCAGCTCAAGCGGAGTTTGGGGCTACCGGTCGGGGCTGTTCTCCCGCTTCGATGGTGATTCTATGTATCGCAAAACCTACCCACAACATTACGTTACAACATCGGCGACCGCCCCTGAATCTATCCAAACCTGCACTCTTTGTGCAGGTGACGCGATAAATCTCGCCAGCTCGACTAGGAACCGCACTTCGCTTCTGCCACGTTTTCTGTGTTATTTAACCTCAATTCCATTTTAAATGTTCAATTTCTTTTAACTCTGATATTAACAACAACTGAACAAGTGTTAAAGTTTAAAAAGAGCAATAAACAACATTTAAATTCGCCATACAATCTTGTGAAATTTTAAACAACAAATAATTCTTTTGTGGGGTTAAAATTGGACATCAAATAATTTATACGATGGACACATTCATCAACAAAATATTTACAAAACAAAACTAGTAACAATTTATGAAAAACAAAAGATCGGGTGTGAAATAAACTTGTGAAAATAAAAATATTATATCAGGTTAAAACTGCAAAGCATGAAATTTACGTCCAATGAAAATTATACAACAAAGGAAAATTACTGAGGTTAAAACTGTGAGATTAGAGAAATATTGTATGAGGTGAAAAACTGCAAAGTTAACAACATTTACATGAGATTAATAATTGCTACACTTTATCAACGATTCAAACAAAGAGTTTACATTATGTTAAATTATATCACATCTAAGTCATTGGTTACTTCAAAAAAACAATTTACTTTGAGAGTTTAGAATACCGCGAACTGATGGTTACCCCAACAAAACACATAATAAATAAACACAAAAATATCCAATCATCGTTGCGAGGAAAAAGCGTCTCGGTGATGTAAAGTTTATCGTTGCGAGGAAATGCCTCGATGATGTAAATTTTTAACGTTGCGAGGAAAAAGCGTCTTGGTGATGTAATCAATCTTTAGCGTTGCGAGGACATGCCTCAGTGATACTATCAATCTCTAATGTTGCGAGGGCATGTCCCGGTGATGTAATCAGAAGAAATTATTTTAACCCCCCGTCAGTTCGCGGTATGAATTAGTTAGTTTAATTGCCGTAAATGAAATATTAGCAATCTTGTGTGAAGAAGTAAGAAGTGTTATAATATAAAACTTACGTATATGCATCCAGAAACTTTTCGTAATTAAACAACAAAGGTGTTATCCTGACTAAGTGAATTTCATGAAATCTTCTAGCAAGTGGTTCATTTAAATAATCCTGATTGTTAAATTGTATTAGCACTAGCTGACGATTAAGAAAAACTAACTTGATTGGTGAATTTACAAAGAATAAAACAAATTTACAGCACGTGTTCCGCGTTGAAAGATCGCATGTTTTTTCGATTAAAAGCCACAAGAATTAGCTACACGGGTTGGGGGAAAACTGTGTCGTCATAGGAGTTACGATTGATTGTCGTTAAACAAAGGCTTCCTCCCTTTTATTAACTACCAATCCAACTAAACTAAGCAAGAATACCTTACCACGTGATTACACTCACAAAAACACATCCAGACTGACACTTCGGCATGCTGCCCTCTGTCTACTAACCAACCTTCCAACTAAAAGCCCCTAGCCTACTAACTGTCCAACTATCCAACAAGCGTTACCGTGCCCTGGTTGCGTATGTTGAACGATTTGTGATTTGATTTTTTTTTTAAATTCAAATTATTCAAATGTGATTTCGCGCTGCTGTTAATTAAATTCAGCGCAAAAATTTTGATTCAAATTCGGTCACCACAATGTTTTCATTTATTTAGATATATTTCAAAATACTATAGCCACAGCTAGTTGATTTCCCAGCCACAGTTAGTAAACTGTGACCACATCAAACAAAATCGTCCTTTTCGGAAATTTTATTGATTTTACCCCAGTCAGATATGGTGTAGAAATATTAACAACGATAGTTTCTGCTTTAAACCGTTGATATAAAAAACTAATCTAAAGTTATCAAATAGGGTGAATCAATAATACCACATCTCTTAAAGTGGTTATACTTTGTAAAATACTTGTCAAAATTTGCAACAAAATTGTCACTGTCATTTTCAATTGTCAGACAGTCTTTAAATTTTTAAAAACGGGCTGTTGCCGCCTCAAACACTGTACTAGAAGCATTGCAAATTTAAACCATGAAACCTTCATCGTCACCATGCAATGCTTGTTTAAATCCCAGACTGTCGATAATCTCAGTTTTATGTCGAATTTGTTACGACAACGATAAAGACGAAGCGTTAATAGCTCCATGCCACTGCAAGGTTTTACTATTGTATTTTTACATACTTCTCTAGGCAGAAAATAATTTTCAGGGTACCGTAGCTTTTGTTCATCGCAGCTGCCTGGAACGCTGGTTGGCCGAATCTAATACAACCATGTGTGAGCTCTGCCACGTAGTATTCAGAACGGAGCGTTCACCTAAGTATACATCCAGGCAATCTATATGGAGGTGGTTGAAAAGCCATCCTCCCGGTGGTATTGGAAGAGGTGTACGAAGCGATATTATAGCGTGTACTGTGATAACCCCAGTGGCTATCATAATTACGTACGTTTGTCTCTTCTCATCTGACTACTATAATCAGAAAAAGTTTATCATGGTCCCTGCAGCTCGCTGGACGTCGGTATCACTACTTATAATGATAGGGATTATGTTGATCGGATACTATTTATGGGTCTATTCAGTCATTAGGTTGCATTCAAGACTGTGGTATAATTGGTGGCAGAGGGAGTGTGTGGTAAGATATATACCTCCGAGTGCAGCGCACATTTGTTGTCATAATGCCACTGAGATCGAGAATCCAGTTAATACACCAGTATCGACAACAGTGTCTACGGCAGTTTCTACACCCCTATCAATAGAAATTCCTATTTTTGAAGACGAATATGACGATGTAAGAAGTAGGCAAGATGCAGAGACAGAGGTTGAAGAGGGGAATTTTGGTCTTGTGGACGAAACCAATGTGACTGAAGAAGCAATTATGGTTGAACAAGTGCTTATGTCTGAAGAAGCGATTGTCACTAATGTTGTTAGGCACGAACAAGTTGTTATTGTTGAAATGCCCGAAAATGAGGACATTGGCGAAGGAGATAAATCTGCGCAATACGAAAATAAATCAACCAGTGCATAGATGTCGTAATTTTATTTATTTTTTACTGTCTGCTTCCTTACAATTAGAGACAGGACTAGTGCCGGTAACTTTCAAGTTGCTAGTGGGCTTGCATTTAGGTTAGGTTACAGGTTAAGTAACTACGTCTGAATTAACGCTATGCATGTTGGCAATTATTGTTCAAATTTTTTTCCACAAAACTGAGTTTGCAATGCGATGATCTTTGCATTTTATATCTAATGTACCGTATTGGATATGGGTGAATTTGAAGAAAAAAGTAACCCTTTTTTGCACAGTACAGTTAGCCACGTGAAAGTTAACTCGCGAATCAATCGATTCAAGTTTTGCTTGCAAAATTTGCATCTGCTCTTTCAATTCCTGTTCCAATTCTCCGGCTTCCTTGAGGTTTATTGTGTCTAAATCCAGGGATGACGGATTAACATTGGAGATCTCCTTCGACTTGAAACACGAAAAACAACGAACAATTTAACGGTGGCAGGGTTAAAACGTTGTGGCTCAGTTGAACAAGACTATACGTCCAGAGAGTGAAGAAATCCAGTCGTATCTCACATTCTGGTGGCGATTCTAATAAATAAGACCCAAAAATGGGTATTCTATAGGCTTAAGTGGTTTTTAAAATTATTCATTTCATTTAATAATTCTGTAGGATTAATTATTTGGTACATCATAATAATTTGGTTTATAATTCAGTGAATTCTCACACTCCCGTAACCTTTAGTTTCTTGAAGAGTTAGGTACATATTTAATCGTTTTGACATGATTTTTGAATTTCGAGCCACTTGATTGTGAGAAATTTTAGAAACAAAGCCCTTAAACTTATTAATCGCATTTTGTAGAAGAGTTACCTGACGGAAGGCAACATTTTACTTCCCGAGCGTAAGCAAACGAAGTATTGTAATCGAGTCCGTCGGCTGACTCTCTACTTTTACGTTTTCTCGATCTTTCATGACCCCTAGAAGACGAAGAAATAGGTCTCCCATTTCCGTCTGTCTGACCGTCTGTCCGTCTGTTCGTCTGTCCGTCTGTCTGCCGTCCCGGATTTTTATTAGACAGATAATCTCCGAAAGTACTGGACCGATTGTTGTGAAATTTTGTACTTATATTAGGAATATCATGTAGATGGTTAAACGCTAACCAAAATTTGTCTAATCATCCCCACCACTAATGCGATGACGTCACTTCAAAATTGTACATAGTAAATGGGTTTTCAATTGTATAAAATAACATAGTCCTACACATGTCGTTTACGACTCCGAATTGAGTTCTTACCCGAAACGTCCAGATTTTTGGAAAAAAAATCAAAATTATAAAACAACATTTTGAAATTTAATTTTTAATCTGCTAACCAGAATGCTTTGAAATCTTGCAGATGTTTTAAGGCTCTAAAGAGCATTATAAATCTTTAGTCTAAATATATTTGGTTATCCTCTCCAAAAACTTGATGACGTCAGCTCAAAAGTTTGCCAAATAAATCCTGTGTAAAATGTACAAAATATGATGAGTCTGTGCTTGTGATATATTACTCCATTCATATTGCTGGGATTTGCATATACAGGTGACTTAAAAGAATTAATGAATGCGTAAATTTATTTTATTGATTTAATCAGGAACTCTAGAACCGAATGTTTTGAAATCTTGCAAATATTTTAAGGTTGTAAAGAGCATAATTTTTTAGTCAAAATATTTTTGGTTATCTTCTACAAAAAACTGATGACGTCAGCTCAAAAGTTTGCCGAATAAATCCTATCTAGAATATACAAAATATGATGAGTCTGTACTTGTAATTTATCATTCCATTCATATTTTTTGAATTTGCATATACCGGGTGACTCAAAAAAAAAAATGAAATCTACTGCGAAAAAAAACATAATAGACATGCAGTCGTCACGTTTCCGACAGCGAGGAAAGTACTGTCTTTTTATTAGTTAATTATGCAAAGTGTTTTTCAGTTCATTTTACAAAATGGCATGTTAAATCGAAAATTAACGTTTCTGACAGGGCAACATCAAAAAACATTTAAAAACATATATACATATCGAGTATTATATAGCTCTATTTTATATTTATTATTTATGTTTGTGTTGCAGGTAAATAGTATATTCATAAACAAAAGATGCTGAGTCTTAAAAAAGAAATTTCTTCCCTGTCTTAAATCTTGCACAAGCGAGATGACGCCAGTAGTGAGTTGCTCTTTTTTACTTCCCGAGCGTAAGCAAAGGAAGTATTGTAATCGAGTCCGTCGGCCGACTCTCTACTTTTACGTTTTCTCGATCTTTCATGACCCCTAGAAGACGAAGAAATAGGTCTCCCATTTCCGTCTCTCTGTCCGTCTGTTCGTCCGTCTGTCCGTCCGTCTGTCCGTCCGTCTGTCCGTCCGTCCGTCCGTCCGTCTGTCCGTCCGTCTGTCCGTCCGTCTGTCCGTCCGTCTGTCCGTCCGTCTGTCCGTCTGTCCGTCTGCCCCCGGATTTTTATTAGACAGATAATCTCCGAAAGTACTCGACCGATTGTTGTGAAATTTTGTACTTATATTAAGAATATCATGTAGATGGTAAAACGCTAACCAAACTTTGTCTAATCATCCCCACCACTAATGCGATGACGTCACTTCAAAATTGTACATAGTAAATGGGTTTTCAATTGTATAAAATAACATAGTCCTACACATGTAGTTTACAACTCTGAATCGACTTTTCACCCGAAACGTCCAGATTTTTGGAAAAAAAATCAAAATTATAAAACAACATTTTGAAATTTAATTTTTAATCTGCTAACCAGAATGCTTTGAAATGTTGCAGATGTTTTAAGGCTATAAAGAGCATCATAAATCTTTAGTCAAAAAATATTTGCTTATCCCCTCCAAAAACTTGATGACGTCAGCTCAAAAGTTTGTGGAATAAATCATATCTAAAATGTACAAAATATGATGAGTCTGTACTTGTGATCTATCACTCCATTCATATTTTTTGGATTTGCATATACAGGGTGACTCAAAAAAATTAATGAATGCGTAAATATATTTTATTGATTTAATCAGGAACTACAAAACGGAATGCTCTGACATCTTGCACATGTTTTAAGGTTATAAAGAGCATAATAAATGTTTAGTCAAAATATATTTGCTTATCCCCTCCAAAAACTTGATGACGTCAGCTCGAAAATTTGCCGAATAAATCATATCTAAAATGTACAAAATATGATCAGTCTGTACTTGTGATCTATCACTCCATTCATATTTTTTGGATTAGCATATACAGGGTGATTCTAGAAAATAAATGAAAGCGTAAATTTATTTTACTGATTTACTCAGGAACTACAAAACCGAATGCTTCGAAATCTTGAAGATATTTTAAAATTATCATAAGCATGGTAAATTTTTGATCAAAACGTATTTGGTCGTCCCCCCTAAAAAATGTATGACGTCACCACAAAATTTTGCTGAATAAATCCTATCTATCCGCCGCTTTTGACGCTTATTAATTTACCATATTCTACACCCTCTATTGCTCCATTGGCAAGTTGGCGTTATAATTTTAAAAATGCCAACTATAGCGAATTAAACAACTACTTTTCTTCACTTAATTGGAATTCCCTACTAGATTATAACGATATAAACTCAGCAACTGACTCTAATGAAAAGGAATATAGAAAAGAAATTAAGGACTATAAGAAATTAATAAAAGAGAAGAAAGCAAAGAAACAGGATGAAGAAGACCAGAAATTAAAGGATATAAGAACGGAAGCGGAAGCATGGAAATATATAAACCAAGAAAGGAAGATAAAAACGGGACCAAGTAAGAACATCAAGATAGAAGAATGGCGGGAATATTTTATAAGAATTTTAGAAGGCGCAGAAACTAACGAAGAACAGAAGACAGAAGTAAATAGACAGGAAACAGGCACAATAGAAGAAAGGGAAGAAATAGGGAAGGAAGAGGTGATAAGAGTAATAGGGAAAATGAAGAAAGGAAAAGCTGCAGGAATAGACGGCATTCAGAACGAACACTGGATTTACGCAACAGAGAATATAGTTGAGGGACTCACGAAAATGTTAGATAAGATCTGGAAAGGAGAAGGGTTACCAGAAGAATGGAGAGTGGGGTTAATCAGTCCCCTGCACAAGAAAGGAAACAGAGAAAAAGTAGAAAACTATAGAGGAATTACGTTGTTGAACACAACTTACAAGATCTACAGTTCCATTTTACAACATAAGTTGGAAAGGGATATAGAGGAAAAACAACTGCTACCAGAGGTGCAAATGGGATTTAGAAAGGGAAGAGGAACAATCGAATGCATAGCGACCCTGGATCACATAATAAGGAGGGAATTAAACGAAAAAGGAGGAAAGGTATACGCGCTCTTTGTAGATTTGAAAGCGGCTTTTGATATGGTTAATAGGGAAAGACTATGGCAGATAATGAAAGACATGGGCATCAGTAAAACACTAATAGAGAGAATTAGAGAAATCTACAGAGAGACAGAAAATAGAATCAGAGTTAATGGAGAAACGTCGATGAATTTCTGGACGAAGAAAGGAGTTAGGCAAGGATGTCCATTAAGTCCAACGCTCTTTTCCTTGTATATAGCAAAATTAGAAGAAAATCTTACGAAGGCACAGATGGGAGGGGTCACTTTAGGGAAAACAAAAATCTGGTCACTACAGTATGCAGACGATATCGTCCTACTGGCAAAAACGGGTAAAGAAATAAGAGAGATGATGAAAACCCTACAAACATTTTTAAGAAGGAGAGAACTGCAAATGAATGTAGAAAAAACGAAAATGATGGTTTTCAGAAAGGCGGTAGGGAGAAGTAAGAAAGAGGTTTGGCAATGGGAAGAAAAGACGATAGAAGAAGTAGCGACGTTTAAATATTTAGGGTATACATTTCAAAGAAATGGAAGAAGAACCCAACATCTGGAAAATACAGTAAAGAAGGCAAATAGATTGTTGAAGGCGGTATGGGGACTGGCAGAGAGAAGGTTGAAGAACGATTTCGTTAGAA